TTGCTACAGCCTGACAGGGATACGAATTAGCCTGGCGGTACATTCCGACAGTCAGAATTAGGCTGACAGGGTGTCGAATTGGCCTGGCAGGGACATTCGGACAGTCAGAATTAGCGTGTTCAGGGTGTCGAATTAGGGAAGCACGGGAATTGTGTAACCGGGGCAGCCAAAAGAATTGCTCTGCCCGACAGTGTGTCCTACCCTCTAGTGAGTTGAAAAGACGAGGGAGAGGAGGCTATGATGGGAGAGGAGGCAGATGATGGAGAGGGGGAAAGGAGGAAGAGGAACGAGAGGGGGGAGAGGAGGAAGAGAGGGTATAAGTTGGAGAATGGGGAGAAGAGAAAGGGGAATGGGAGGAAGGAGATGAATCAGTGTGAAATTGTGGCCGAGCTAAAGGCGGTCACAAAAATTATCCTGAAGCGGCAAGCAAAGAGGATTAATTATACTGGATTCACATGCTACGTTACGTTGCGAAAACTTTTAGGTAAAAGTGGCCCTGAGAAAGTCACCCAGTTCACACAGGACATTACGACGACGTTGTATTCGTTGGCGCGAGCTGTGTAAAACCATCTCCATTTTATGTCTTTCAATGGCCAAAACTTCAGAACATCCCCTTAGAATTGCAATATATATTTGAAGGGTGATTGGCAGCCCTGCCTACTGCAATGGCACTGCATCCCGCGCGAGCCGCGATGGCGTTTGCCCTAGCGGTCGCGCTGGATGAAATTTTTGATAATCTTGAAGATATGTTCAATGCTCAGTGGCAGAGATTGAGCGTGTGGGCCGACGCGGCGCGGCCCATGCCGCCGGAAGTGCGGCCGACTTGCCGTTTCGCGGGTGGCTTCAGCCCTGATACTACAATGGGTTACATATTGGCAATGTAAGCGGTCGTGAGCGGTCGAGCAACACGAGCGGCGTTGTCCTTGTTCATTTTTATAATATAAGGCAGCGGTGTGACTAGAAATTCAGTCGGAGTGCAAAGCGCGCACAATTTGTCAAGTATGTGGTCTTTATAAGCGATTGGGCTTGGCCGTTTGTTATAACTCGCGAAATTGGCGACGCATTTCAAGTAACGGTACGAGGGGTCAGCGTTTGGCGAAATTGAAACCCCCCCCCCTGGTCACTTAAGACTTTTCGTCCGCTTTACCGGTAACGTACCGTTACCACGTCCGAACCGACCACTTTTTCCAAAAAGTTTCAACGTAACGTAGCATGTGAACTGGCTATTAGGAAAGATGAAGTATTTTCAAATTATAGAACGTTCTTGTCGAGAACTGCACAAGGAGAAGTGTACGGACGAGAATATGAAAATTAAGGATTGATAATGAATGAGCAAAGTGATTTGGCTTTTCTTACTTTCATTGCCGTGTTTGTCTTTTAAGACAACCAGGCCCAGGCTTTTACGAATCCACCCCAGGATTATCCGAACACATCCCAGGCAAACCAGGAGAAGAACTTGGCCTTTGCGCCGCCAAGGTACAAAACCAGAAGACAAAGAAGGCTTTTGCAGTGTGGAATTTGTTTCAGCAGCTCAAGCAACTGAACCTTCATTTGCGCCATTTGCAGTTCCTTGAATTTGTTTGGGTCTGATAATGTTAAGATATAGGCGAGTGGAACTGTGTAGGTAAAGCCAACCTTAACCGTTACAGGTATCACAGGACAATCTTTCAGTCAGAACATCATCTCCTTTATACCAAACATTCCATCTTATCTGTCGTACGGACGGAACACCTGTACGAATCCAACTCAACGAACTCCCAGTCCTTCTCGGAACTGCACGAACTTTCCTTCTGGCAACGGCTTCGTGAGGATATCAGCTACCATACTGGTAGTGGGACAATACTCAAACTTCACCTGCCCCATAGATACCCTCTCACGCACAAAGTGATGAATCACATCAATGTGCTTCGCACGTTCCGAAACAATCGGATTCTTTATTAAACTTAACGCTCCCTGGTTGTCACCCCAGATACGCATGATGTCAACCTTACACCCAAGCTCGGGCAGAAGTTTCCTCAGCCAGAGCGCTTCGCGAGTAGCTAGGGACACCGCCATATACTCCGCCTCCACAGTTGACGCTGCCACAGTCGGTTGCAAACGACTCTTCCAGCTGACTGCTCCACCGCCAAGGATAAAAGCATATCCAGTTGTCCAGCGGTTGTCTTGGTCCACTGCCCAGTCCGCATCGGCATAACCCTCGATCTTCTTACTGCCTCTGGCAAAACATAACCTGAAATTCACAGTCCCCTTCAGATACCTCAGGACATCCTTAGCAGCCTCCCAGTGAGCCTTCGACGGCTCAGACATATACCGCGCTAACTTAAACACAGCATGCGCTATATCAGGACTCGTGCACACCGCCAGATACATCAAGCCACCAATTGACTCTCGGTAACGCGTTGCATCCAACAATACCTTGTCGATATCACTAGTACGGTTCAAAACTAGACTTGGCGTCATAGGAACCGACTTAGGAACGGCATCCTCCATCCCGAACTTGGCCAACAATTCGGCCATATATCGCTGCTGCGAGATTTTGACCTCGCCTAGCTCCTTGTAGAACGACACCTCCTCCAGATCACGGAGGTCAAACTCGGCCTTCAATTCTTGCTTAATACGGGCCATTTCCTCGCTATTGTTGCTCGCGACTAGCAAGTCGTCTATGTGAGCGTATAGCCACACCACAAATGACTCTTCTTCCAGCGTAAAGAAGCTGGGATTCGCATCAGAAACCTTAAAACCAATAGCCTCCAGCGTTTCCCGCAACTTCTGGTGCCAAGCTCTGCCTGCCTGACGTAAACCGTATAACGCTTTTCTCAACAGACACTTCATACCTGCGCCACCCGTTTCAAAACCAGGCGGTTGATCACGATAAATAACCTCCTCCAGCGTCCCGTTGAGGAACGCAGTGTGTACGTCTAGGTGGTGTACCTCAAATCCTTCAGCCGCAGCCTTGCCAGGAATGTACGCAAAGTCGCCTGATTGCTACCAGGCGCGAATACCTCGTTGAAATCAACACCTTCCTTCTGCTTATAGCCCTTTGCTACCAACCGGGCTTTGTACCGTTCTACTTGTCCGTCTACACCCCACTTCACCGGAATCGGTTTCACCCCAGGTGGCGGTACCTTCAGCTCCCACGTATCTAATGCATGGATAGATCCCATTTCTTCAACCATTGCCTCCTGCCATTTGTCCCGTTCTGGAGAGGCCATCGCTTCCTCGTAGGTGCTCGGGATTTTGACGTCCCATACGTTGACAGCAAGGTTGAGTCTTTGGGGTGATGACCGTCACGTTGGGGGTAACGATGTTGTGTAGAGGCAGCTGCACCAGCCTTATCCTCCCCCTCAGCTGCCTTACCGACAGCTTTAGGTTTCCCCTTAGTGATCCCGCTGGTAGTCTTAGGCTTCCCTTTTGTGGAATCGGCTGCACCGCCGGTAGCCGTAGGTTCCTCCTCAGGTGCCTCAGGTGCTGCACCAACTACCATAGGCTCCCCCTCATTGAACTCAGCTGAATCACCATTCGCTGCATTCCCTTGACTATCCTCTATGGCCTCGCTCAGACTAAGCTGCTCCCCCTGCCGGGGAGGGGCTGCAGTCTTGCAACTACTGCTAGCCACATCGTCCTCATCATCACTATCGCTTCCGCTGTCGCTGCTTTCGCTATCATCCGCAGGCAGCGTGTGGGATGTTGGCGTCTCCTCAAAACTCACACTCTTACTCACTACGATACGCTTAGATCCGTCCAATAAAATCCGGTATCCTTTGCAGTTGTGTTCGTAGCCCACCAACACACCCTTCTGGCTCGTTGCATCGAGCTTATTGTGGTGCCTCCTCTCGTTATGCACCCACGCAGTACACCCAAACACGCGCAAATCAGAGACATCTGGCTTCACACGGTGGAAAACTTCAAAGGGCGTTATCTGCTTGCCCGACACAGGCGAACAATTATGCAGGGCACATGTGGTGGTAATAGCTTCGGCCTGTAATCTATGCGGCAATCCTGAGTCTTGCAACATCGCGCGGGTCTTCTCCAGGAGTGTGCGGTTCAGCCTCTCAGCCCTTACCCTTAAGGTACTGTCCTAGAGCCTTATTCAGGTACTCCCCACCACGATCCGACTGAACTGCTAGCAGCTTCTTGCCCGATTGGGTCTCTAACAGCTGCAATACTTCCTGGGCCACTTCCGGAACTTCTCCCTTCGTCCCTACACAGCGCACCATTGCAAAACTTGAATGCATGTCCAGAAACGTGGTGACATACCTTGACCCGCCCATAGACGGAACAGGCATCTCACACACATCCATATGCACTCGCTGCAAAACGCGGTTTGCTGCATTCCCAGACGGAGGAAAAGACGCGCGGGTATGCTTGGCCTTCACACACAGCTCACAGATACTCTTCTCCTTCATCTTCTCCTGGACTTCAGCCGCGCTCAGGCCCATACCAGTGACCATTTCATCAAACACGAGCTTCTCTAAATTACCGTACCCTATGTGTCCGAACCGACGATGCCAAAGCCCCACAGATTCAGACAAGACCGCCAGGGTTTGAACGCACTCCCCCTGGCCCAACCGGGTCGCCTTTAGGTAGTAATGGGTGCCCGCCCGCACACACGGGATTTGCTCCCCATACTCCCACTCCAGGCTTGCGTATTTCCTCATTCATGGAGAAAATATTAGAGGGTTTCCTGGGCATCGACTGACAAGACGTTCCGGCTGCCTAATCACAGCAACTGGTCCACGAAAATCCACGTGGTAACCCTTCAGACCTAGTTCGCCTACCGAAATCAGTTTGTGACCTAATTCCGGCGCATGATACACATTCTTTAGGGTAAATCTTAATCTTGCCATTCTCCCCCTCTGCTTCTAGCAGGACGGTACCCACTCCAACTGTCTTGCAAATCGCACCCGCCACACCTTCTAGGACGATGCCGTCCGTGAGCGGTAGGTAG